CCTATCCCCCTCGTGTGCCTTGCCTCCCCACCGACTATATATAAGAAAACTCTTAAAAACACCTAGAGGCAAAATTGAATAGTGTTGCAGTTTTGCCTTAAAAGCGCAACAGATCTACAGGAGCCGTGGCAGAATCTCACTTTTTTTGCGTGAAATAATACCATCACGAACATGTTATGTCCGTTGCAGTACCGCTACGGACATAGCATGTCCATGGCAGTCTTTTAATCCACGCTATCTGAAAAATCGGACGGCGCCGAACCTATGAGCAAAAATATTGTTCATTTTCGCCCATAGGCGTTGTGTATAGAGAGAGAGAGGGAGAGAGACGCTCAACACTCCCCCCAAGGTTTATCTGAGCGCCCGCCTGCATTTTTCTGAACATTACTCTCAAACTATATCTGTCATTCTCATAAGTTGATCTAGTGACCCAATGAAAACACAACATGTAGTCCAGTGCAAATCCAATTCAAAAATCCTCCTTGCAGCTAACACAAAAATAGGGGTGACCAGATTGACTTGCTGCAACTCTAAGGGGAACCATGGTTCGGTAGGTGTTGGTGGGATTTGCAGATATCACAGGGGAGAGATACTTGTAACATAATAAGGACCAGTGGGCATAGTGGATGTCAAAATAGCACAAGCAGAAGTTTTACTCGTGAGTTTAAAGCGTTTGATAGAAGTTGGGCTTTAGATGTGCTCATCGAAGGAGATTCTAAAGATGTCATCGCTTGGGTCAAAGAGGTTGTGTCCTGTCCATGGAGGTTAGAAAACCTAGTTGAACAAATTATTAACCTTTGTCTCAATCTATGAGGGTCTTTCGGAGACACCTGGAGAGAAGCAATGCTCAGGTTGATACTCTAGCTAAAGAAGGGGAACCCCAAACTAACCTACTTGTCAATTGCCCATCAACCCTGCTATTTATCAGCCCTCTTGCTGCACACAACAAACTTTTGTATAGACCAAACATATAGTTGTATCACACCCAGTTTCAAATTCTATATCAAATATTTATAGAACGAATCAACGAACTGTAAATTTTGTAATATCATTGGCAAGTGAAAAAGTTATCAATTTGGGGGAAAAAAAGATCTCTGAGATACCGTATAAGTGCTTCTCAAAACTTAATGCTGATTCCAGTTCCATTGAGAATTTTGCACCATTTGGGGCAGTGAGCATCATTAGAGACAATGAATGCATGATCTTAAAGGCTTATACTAAACTACTTCGATACTGTGACTCCATTAACCCAAACTAGATGACTCTTTTAATTAGTGGTGGAGTTTTTCTTCAAGCACTTCCCATGGCGTTTGAAGTTAACAAGCAACTCACTGAACATGATCACATACATAATTTTGAACGAAGTGATGCCTTAAAGGTTAGTATATGTCCAAGAAGAATGATGAATGTGATATTTCAGTCTCCATCACCTACATTTCATGAGATGCCAATGAGATATCAATGTTTTCACCGAGGGGTTACCACAAGATAAGTTTATCCTTGGGAACTCTCTCAAGCTCTATTAACACCTAATCCAAGACTAATTGGACGGTTACTCCTAACTGTATCATGTTCTTGCTTAACGCCTATATTCTCTTCAATATAAATTAAATCCAAAATTATCAACGTGTCTTCACATGCAAATGCGCATGCTACACACACATACATAAACAAATGAACATTTCCACTGGATCCTTGACACATCTTACACTGCAACTCTATAAAATCAAATTCTATTCCATACACATAAGCATCTAACTAACAAAAACCCATTGATAATCAAAAGCACGCACTCTTCCACCACCACTAATCCATGACAGATATCACTCTCCACTGGACGATATTGACAATAAATATCATTATACAAAATCAACAGATCAAGTCCAAACAACTCAAAAATTAAAATAAAAAAAATTAATCACATATCATTAAGATGAAAAAGAAAAATACCCCTAAACAAGACTTTATGGAAATTAAAAATGGGTACCTCGTAATCGGTTCTAGGAGCTCCAGGAACCTCAAATGCTTCAACATCGAAGGAATCAATCCTTGGACCAGTCCTGATGAGCCTCTGCTCCACATTTTCCTCCTCTGAATCCCCACTCATCCAATTACTAGAGCCTTCATGCTCCGCGTCATCGTCATCATCTTCTTCTTCTTCCTCATCACCATAAACCCATCTCGATTCAGATGAATCCATTGATACCAGCCCACCATTAGCGCTCTCTTCTGCCATCAAATTTGGAGAGAGAGAGAGAGAGACCAGCAAAACTCCTGGGAACAGAGACAAAAAACTGTTCCCAATGCTCAAAGGAAAGCAGAAAAGCCCGCCAAAAAAATGGAAAAATAAAATCTAAACAATCCAAAAACACGGAAACTAATTTCTTAAAATCAAAAAAATAAAAAAAATAAAAAAAAAAAAAAAAGAAAAGAAGAAGAAGAAGTAGGACCCAAATATCTCAACTGAAACAGAAAAAGAAATGCAGAGGTCCTTAATCAATCCCTTCACGAGATTTCACCATGATCACACCGTGAAAGACCAGATCAAGAAAACCCAACTCCAAATTGTGCAAATACATGAAAATTAGAATGAGAAAACGTGCTAAAAAGGCTATTCGCAATGGCTTTACAAGAAGATCCAATGAGAAATGGCGTAATTACAAGACAAAAATGAGGAGAAAAGGGTGTTAAAAAGGCAGATAAGATCCTGCAATTTCCTGTGATCTTTCATGGGGCTTGAAGAGTAAGCTCGAAAGTGGGGATTGGGCAAAAACCAGGGGCGCGGGGTGGTTTATCCATGAAAGGTCCAACGAAACTGGGCCTCGTCATTCCTGCTTTTTCTGGAATTGGTTGGGAAAACTGGTTTTGAAAAAGGGCGGAAGATATTTATTGGAAAAGGAAAAAAGGTCTCTCGGATTCTTGAAGGCTTTACATAGACACCATTCACTATGTTTTCCTTTTTCTTTTTCTCATTTTTGGAATTTCCTTTTTTTTATTATAACTTTTGCCTTTTTTTTTTCTCTTACTTTTCATGTATTTTTCCTTCTTTTTTTTTCGACCTTTTTTCTACTTCGTGCTTCTTCTTCTTTTTTTTTTTCTTTCTTTTTTTTTCTTTTTTTTTCTCTTTTTTTTTTTTTTGTGAGGTGAGTTAATGGGGGAGAGGGGCCCAATCTATGGTAGGAATTGAGCTGGATGTTAAAAAACAGAAAATTTGAGATTCTACTCCTGCCAGAGTAGAATATCTTTAGCAGGAATCAAATTTCTTTTATTTTGAATATAATCATCTAATAATTTTAAGCCCTTCCGGTATATGCTGCCATGATAGCACATATACATGCTTTAAATCTTAATGCATGAGTATTATTGGGAATTGCCCTTTTAAATTTGGAGCTCAACTTCAAGAAGACAAAAAAAACAAAAAACAAAAGAATTAAATGCACTCTCGAATCACAAAAAAACCATGTTCAAAAATTAAATATAGATCGTTATATATTTTCCAACCAAGGACGCAAGTAAAGAGTAATTTGTACATTAGGGGCTGTTTTGGTACCTAAAAATCTATTGCATGAAAATAGATTTGGATACGCTTTAATAATAAGAATATGGAAATAGATTACTCAAAAATCATGAAACCATTAAGCGTGCTAGGGTTAAAAAATATATTACACCCTGATATGTAATCCATTGTGAACGCTTCCTCTGATAAAAAAAAAAAAGGTCTATCTATTATACAAAAAAAGCCTATCTATTACGGGTCTGATGGGTAATCCATTGTGCATGCTTCCTTTGATAAAAGGAAATCATATCTCCCGTTGTAAACTCTTTTTCTATCTCGTATTTCCTTCTCTCTCTAAAATCCGATGTCCAAATGCCACTACTCAACGTTGCCGCAAAATTAGTTTTTCGGCGATTTTTTCAAGCAAATTTAAGGTAAGACATTGATCCCAATTTTTTATTTTTTTCAAAAATTGGTAACATTATTTGGAGGAATTTATCTTAGTCTTTGATGATCTACTCTTATGTTCTTTCTTTCTTTTTTTTCTTTTTTTTATTAATTGTTTTTGGAATTAGTGGTGAATATTGGATTCTCTTTGTAAGTGAATTGGGAATATTGAATTATGTTTAAATTTTTATTGAAGAATATTTATTTTTTATGGGAATTCGGTGATGATTTTTTTATTTATGTGAATTCATTTATTGAATTTAAGGGTTTTGGGGGGTTTTATGAGTATGGGTGATTTTTTTATTTTTTATCTTGTTTACAGTGAAATACTTATTTATTTATTATTTGTTTTATGTTTTAAGCAAATTGGGCTCATATGAATTCTTTAAAATAAATAAAATTTTACTTTATTTGTTTTTATTCGATTGAACCAAAACCGAAATATTCACTTACCTTATTTATTGAGTGGAGTAGAGAGAGAAAGATAGAAGAAAGAGGAAAGGGGAAAAAAGTAACAAGCTTAGGGCGGTCCAGCGTAATGGGACGAAACCTCAGTGACATCTGCAACCTTGGCTGATCTTCTCAGCCATCTCTATCCTTTCTCTCTCTAAAATACTCTATCTTTCTCTCTCTAAAATACTCGTGCTGAGCCATCTAAATCAGTATATTTTCCAACCAAAGGAAGCATGTAAAGAGTATGCTCCCGCGGAAGCATGATTTGTGCGCTATTACTTTTTTCTTTCTTGAGACTTTTCACGTCATCCCACGCAACTCTGACCTTTAATGAAAACACCGTAACTCACGCATGATGCGGACAATCAACTCCATCCATATGCCATCCCCATCCCAATCCCATTTCTTTTTAATATTATTAATATGAAAATTTCATAAAAACCCTCAAAACTGGTCTTTCCAACCAATTTACGCCATCTTATTTTTTTTAGCAACTTTTTTTCTAAAATCATGCTTCCTAACAAATAACTCCAATTTCCAAAAAAAAAAAAAACCCAGAATAAAATACCCTTCGCTTGCCCCACACTTTGACCTAACCTAATTATCTATCTCACATCTTTCTACTGAGGACCCACTTTGTATTCTTATCTCTAGCACTCTCTCTCTTCACATGGACCCGGGCTCGCTCTTTATCGCTTTCTCCCCCATGCCAAGCCTGAGCTCCCTCTCTCTCGGTCTCTCTCCCCCAAACCAAGCGCAAGCTCCCTCTCTCTCCCCCTCTCTCTCCCAAACCAAGCCCGAGCTTTTTCTTCTCCCTCTACAAATGATATAGCAGCCCGAGAACGTACCCTTTCTCTCGATCTCTTTACCCGAATCAAAGGCTTGAGCTCTCACCCTATCTCTCGCTCTCTCTCTATGAAGGACCCACCCCCCGATCTCTCGTTGACTCTATGAACCAGCTCGGGCTATCGATTGCTTAGCCCCAACACAATTCCCCAAAGCCCGCTCGATTTGTAGCTCGAACTCTTAGCCCCAAATCAGCCCGATCAAAAGTATGAAAGAGTATTTTATTTATTTTTTATAAAAATAAAAAATAAATTGTTGTCGCATTCTTGGCCCCAAATCATTCCCATATTCTGTTTTTCAATATTGTTTACATTTCCATATGTGCATATTATCTTGATTGATGTGTTGTGCACATGTAAACTTTGATGATATAAATAGATTTCGCGATGCAAGACCCAAAACAATCAAGAGGGACAAGGGGCCTATCCACTTCGTCCAATCAAAGGGAAAATGTACAATAGTCTATTTACTTTAGTTCATGATTTACATTATTAAGTCATTCTTATATTATTAATAATTATTGTCATTTTTTATTGAACTTCATTTCAGAAGAAAAATAATTTTTGTATTAATGAATCAATTAAGACACTAGAAAAATGGGAGCTAGATCAACGATAGGTAACTTTGGTTGAAAAGACCAAATTAAGCTCATTGATAGACAATGGGGTCTCCCAAATTGAAGTCTATTGAGGACCTTTATAGGGGAATGATGCAAGGTGACAAATACCGCACATTTAACTGTAGGTGAGATGACTCCAGCCATATACGATGTGTGACATATATTAAAGATACTTGTGATATGCGAACTTGTAACATACATCAGACCTAAAGACTACAGGACTTTCAACATGGAGTATTTGGGAGATTGTCCTAAAGGTGATAAGTTGAGCCGTTGTAAACATACTTGGTTGATGACGAAATTCGGGTAACTACCGAAAAAATCAATCAAATTAAAACTTCTTCAACACACTAAAGCTTGTCTCCTTTATTTAGTCGGCACAACTCTATTTGTCGATGCATCTTAAGGATTGACTCTTACAAGCTACCTACAACTATTCCGATACCTCGATGAGGTAGGGAAGTATGCATGGGGTGCAACAACGCTTGCCTTCTTGTATCGTTCTTTATCTAAGGTTGTATATGGGGATACACATATAAATGGGTCAGTAACACTACTACACGTAATGTTCACTATTTTTATAATCAATATTTAGATATTTGTAATTTCATTGGCTTCAAACTAATTGCTTCTAGCTATTTTTTTTTTGCAGTGTTGAATCTATGATCATTTTTCAACTCTAGGCACCAAGCCTACAACTATCACCATAGAAATACCTAGAGCTTGCTAGTGGAAGAAATAACCATGCAACAACTACCCATTAACAGCATTTGATAACATCTCAATTGACATGGTTAGTGATTTGCTTGGGTGATTATGTACTTGTAGGTAATCTATCAAATGCAAATACAAACATGGTCCGGCAAAATTGTGTCTGGAATAGGCGACCCGACAGTGTACAGCTCCAGTTCGGCATAATGGATGTGCCCGACAATATACAACCGCGGTTCAGTATTTCCTTGTATTAGGATCCAATAATGATTTGTTATGTACGGGAAGGGTATTTTCGTCAAAAAAATGTATTTTTTGTATTGAGGGTATTAGCTAGGAAACATCGTTTTGGGGAAAAAGTTGATTGGAAAGGTTAAGTTGAGGGTAAATTGCTTAGAAAGTCTATTTTTGGGGGTTTTATGTAATTTTCCTTTGTTAATATTCTACTAGAACTTTGGGTGAATAATCCATATTTGGATGCAGTTTTTTTTTTTTTTTTCACCCAACGAGAACGGGGAAATCAAAATAGGCAAAAACAAAAAAAACCTTTTGATTTGGGATTGGAAATTAATCCCTATTTTTACATATTTTATACAAGGATCATTTTGTATTCACTTTTTTATTTTTATTTTCCAAAATATTATTGGTATGGTACTTGAAGTAGATGACCGACTTCTCCATGATAGAGTTTGTCCATTATTTCAAGCATCGAAACAACATTTGGTACTTTTGGATCACCTTCTTTTCGTACATTTCAAGTGGCAGACAAACTAAAAACGCAAAAAAAAAAGACAAAAAAGGAAAAAGTGCA